CACAGGAATCCAGGTGCTTTATGTCTTACTTTTGAAGTTGTGTCTGTGCTTGGGCTGCCATTTTCCACACACACAGTGGCCCTCGGGGCATCGTATGATCCTTGTGAGGCAATTGAGAAGTCGTGGGTGAGAGAGCTTATGGTAAAGCAATCCATACATTTGTGTGGTCTCCGCCATGAAAGGAACAAAAATGAAATGATTTTATATTATCTGTCCAGCTTCTCTTTCTTACTTTTCTGGTCCCTGGCGTCTCTGCCTGAGCGTCGACTGAGTGATTTTTTTTCCCATAGAAACCTGGAAAATATATAACCAACGTTGGAATTTTTTCTATTTAATAGCATGCAGTAACAGCCCTGAAGAAAGAGTCTTTTCTCCCTAAACGCGTTGGCTTGATGTACTTGTTGTTACTCTCAATAAATGTCTCCTACTCTACCATCAAAAGTGCATTCTTTTGGACATCAGGTGCTCCTTCTTTTCTACTATTCCAAGTATACGTGTGAAGATGACCTCAAGGCCTTACCAGAAAGGCAGCAGCTTAAACCCCAAGAGGGTTTAAACGCCAATATCAACCACTGGGTACAACCGACTGGAGGGATTTCCCCCTACCCAACCACGCAACCACCCACCTCTGACCAGTGACTGATCCACTCTGTCCTGCGCAGTCTTCAGCACAAACAAGATTTTCCAAATATGTTAGGGGTTGTTATCCTAGGCTTCAGCCTTTACCTCCCTTTTTAAAAATGTTGACCACCTTGCTGTTCTAGTTTTTCCCATATGTGTCCTCTCGGAGGATGTTTACTTTTTTCCTTGCGGCACTGCCGATCTGCTTTGGATACACCAGACTCCCCTTTGGCATCCCTTTCTTGTAGAATCTGTTCCCTTTTGCTCTTCGGATTTTTTTTTTCTTTGGCCTTTCTGCCAAAATTTCCTTAATTAATTTTGGTTAATTCCATGTCTGTTGAATCTCAGTGACTTGTTCACCCCTCAGCTGGATTGCCTTTAGACATCCCATTTCTCTGTGAAATACTTTCTCATGGTCCTTCAATGGACAAAAAAATAAAATTACATTTTTGCTCTTACGGTAAAGTATTTTTCATGAGTCTCTTTAGGGGGACAGGTCCTACCTTTGTGCCTTGACCCTATGTACTACTTGTTCACAAAACTGAGGCATGACGGTTAGGGGCCGGGTTATGGTGGGGAGGCCTTTAGCATTTTTATTTGCTGATGTCAGCCTCCTGAAGGCAGCATCTTAACCCATATATCTATAAATTACTTCTTCCCTCCATGGACTTCAAGAAAGTTTTTACAGTAAGACAAAAATCTTATTTGAAATTTTGGTAGGTGCTGGAGAGTTAAATTGCCTTATTGTCTTTTATGAAGATTTGCTCATTAGGTACTACTTTAGTTTCTAGGTTTCCACATTTGCCAAAAGAATGCTTGCACATTATTGCAGACTTACCTCCACTCTGCTTCAGTACTGACAGACCTTTCTCCAGTCCATCTGTTACCTTCATTTCCAATGATGGATCCAGCATCTTCACTTTTTTCTCATTGAGTGGCCAGTAGTGATGATGTAACTGCTGCATATCCACAGTGAAATTGCATGATCCTGATGCTCAACTCCATTTTTTGTATCTTACAGCGACTCACTAATTTTAAAAATGTTAACTTGCAAAAAGACAACAATTAAAGTGAAGCTAAAGGTTGTAATTTACTGTATAAATAAAATAATTTAAAAAGTCATGTTTACCTGTGCTGTTGAATGGTTTTTCACAAAGCAGCCCCAATTATCTTTGTGTCCCCAGTAGTTCTGGCTGCTTCCCCCTGCTGAGTGCTCCCAATAGCAAGCGTCCCAAGCCACACTTCTGGAATGACCATTGTCTATTCATGCACGCAGTGTGGCTTGGCCTCGCCCCACTGTCCTTCTCATTGGCTCACTGGATGTGATTGACAGCAGCAGGAGCCAATGGTTACCACTGCTGTGTGAGCCAGTGAGGGGAGAGAGAGTCCTAAGAGAGCTCCTGCTCTCATGCACATCGCTGCATCGAGATGGGGCTCAGGTAAGTATAAGGGGGGACTGGAGGAGGGGGGGGCACACAGAAGTGTTTTTTTTTTTTTTTTCCTCCCTTAATGCATAAACCGCATTAAGGTAAATAGACCACCTGTCTGTAAAACTACTTTGTTTTCCTGTCCCACTGCCATCATTGCCTAACCTAGCTCGGTTGAAGTACTAAGCTTTCCAAAAGACCTTCAGCATCTGGAATACATATAGGTTTGTTGGATACCTTGCCCTCTGCTTCTGTGCATAGGAGAAAGGGACATAAGCTTTTTGACTTAAACAGATACACACACACCTCTGAGGCTTTGCTGCATTATTGATTTACTGATCTGGAAGAAGACATGCATATCAGATGCCTCAGTGTGAACACATATTCTGGGTTAGTGACTGTTCCTAAACAAGGATGAGGATGACAGGCTTGGAGTTTGTACCAAGACTGCAAAGGTAGTGTCCATATTTCTATCCAAACGGGCACCTTTTTAAACGTAATTATTATGAATTTTTAATTTTTACACCCCACATTGACTTTGATGTCCTAGGATGCAAAAGCTTTGCTGAACTTTCTCCTATAAATGGCTAGTAAATCTAAAAAAAGGTTCAACTTTAAAAGACTATTAATAAAGTTTTGGGAAGCTAACGGGCTAGGAAGGAAACTGTGTTTTATGCTTTTTGTCAGCTTGTTTGAAGTCTCATTTCAAAGTACTGCTGCTGTTTGGATTCTTTGATTATTGTCCTCTGGTTAAAATAGATACTGGCCGTACTATTCCACAGGCAAGTTGATCCTGCCTGGAAAATAGTAGAGGTAGATTTGTCTTGGACAAGCTCCTGGACGGACATTGAAAGCCATCATAAGCTTGGGTACACACTGAGAAAATTGGACGTCTGGTCATCAAATTTTCAATGAAGGTGCGTATCATTAATACAGTGGTATTAAGTTGTACAAAAATTCTCGAATGACAAAGGAAAATGTTCTTTCTTGTGTTTTCTGTGTTTTTTTGCCACTTTTTACCGGGTTGTTCTTTGCTTCTGATCAGGTGCATTTTTCTCTATTCGATTATTTCCGTACGATTTACTGTACACATTAAAAACGGACGACGTGTCCATGAAAACATTTTTGGAGTTTGTCCCTTTGGAAATGTTTTCATTTGGAAAGTGAATTGGATGTAGACCGTCATACACACTATATGAAAATCAAATGATCACTCCTTGTATGGAATTCTTCTTCCAATTTTCTTATGTGTGTATCCAGCAATAGGGACACACACCACATTTGGCATGTATTTTTTTTTGGGGGGGAGGGGGGGTGTTATCTGGTTTTGGTATCTGCTCCCGCTCAGATTGCCTGTGCAAGTGGAAAGTCAGGCCTCCACACTTCACCCACCGCTTTCTGGGACATATCACAGGTCCCAGAGGGCTTCAGAACTATCCGCAAAGTGCAATGCAGCTCGTGCATGTACAATAGGAAACCAGTAGCTGTCAGTCTGCTTTCCACACTAAAGCTACTGGCGCCAGAAACACGGAGACTAGTGTAGAACGAGCCCGGATGAAGATGGACAAGTAGCCCGGATCCTTGGACAAGTAGGTGTCTTTTTATTAAAAATCGTCAGCTGCAGGATTTGTAGCTGCTGACGTTTAATATTTTTTTTCTATAGTAGAATAGTAGAGAACCTCTTTAAAGATCAATTCACAAATATTTTTTGTTGATAAAATGTTTTTTTTTTTGGTAGAAATTTCAGTCAATTCAATTAAATCAAACTGATCTTTGTATTTTGGAACAAATTATTTAAAATGATCTAAGCTATGATCAATCAATCATAAAAGTATATGTAAAGCACATGCTTTTTAAGTTTTGGAAGGGGGGGGGGGGGGGTGGCAGGTTTTTTTGTTTCTTTCTTTAATTTGTTCACAGGGATAAAACCTGTTAAACTTGTTTTGGTGGAAAGTGTCTGATGGGATATTTCCAAATTTCATGGAGATCTTGCTTTCTGCTGTGTCTTTGGGACAAAAGCTTAAGACAAATCAATCAAACAGGACACAGACGAGGAAAAAAAAAGTTACAGGAGTAATTAGAGGAAACATCTAGAAATGTTAATTTTGTTTAATTTGTACCCTGAAAAATTCTATTTTGCTCTGGAATTCATCCCTAAATAAAAGCAGTACACTTTCTGGTCCCTAGGTACACCTCTTCTGTAGCCCTGTAGTTGTAAATCTACAATGTAAGAGCATCTGAGGGCACTGTCTTCGACTGAGTAAGATTTGGTGATGTTATTACTTCCCTACTCACTGTTCTGCTTGCTGAAAGTTGACATGCCCTGCCTCTAGAAATACCCCATACACAGTATTTTTTTTTTTTCTTTTTATTAGCAAACCGATCGCTGTACTAACTCAAGCGGTGTTAGTATAGTTATCTCCCCCCGTGCTATTTTTTCCTGACGGGGACAATTGTGACTGGAGCCGAGGAGAGCAGACTCACTCACTCAATTGCTGCAGGAGTTGGCTCCCTCCTGCTTTGGGTGCCTGGCATGGCTGGTCAGCACTAGCTGGTGTGCTGTGCTGGACACTCTGGGGGCTTTGGACCCTCATATTTCTCCAATCTGAGTGCAGAATAATGTGTGGTATGTTAGTAATAGGGAAAGGTTCAGCTGCAGGGAGACCCTTTGCTCTTTTCTGCCATTTTTATAGGTGCAGAGTTCAGTTACTCATTATGTGGAATCAGCTGGGTCCTGTTAGAATTTACTTCTTAAATATACATAGCTTGTTTGTAATATTTGCCTAATCAAAAACATTTAAATAAAAAAATTATCCAGAAAGGCAGGAAGAAATAGAATATAAGACTATCTGAAGGTAGAATAGCACTTCCGTTTACAGTGCCAAGAAGCTTGCTCATGTACTGAAAGAAACAGCATGGTAATTGACTAAGGAAACCCATTTTATTTGACAGAGTTGTTCAGCCCAGTCAAGAACAACTGTTTGATGATGAAGAGCTGCCTACAGCAAGTGCAGAGGAGGAACAGTCTGGTCCAGCTCGAAGAAAGCGTCAGCCTAGCATGTCTGAAACTATGCCTTTGTATACACTTTGCAAGGAAGACTTAGAGAGCATGGACAAGGAAGTAAGCTCAATCAACAAAATTATTATGTTTAGAAATTAAATGATAAATGCTGTTATATGCTTCTGTATATTATTTGTTTTGTCCCACTAATTACAAAGCAGCATAGATCCACACATTTAATTTGCAGTTACTTACTGCTGAGGTTCTACCTTACACTAGATATTAAGAGCACATGCGTGACTGCTGGAGTGTTCACCCCCCTAGGGTACATGTGCATACATTGTGTTTTTTTGTTTTATTTTGCACATCTGTGCTGTAGCTAGGTTGCTACTAACAGGTCACAATGTTAAACATACATAGTCCCACCTGATGATCACTGTTGCCTGACTAAGCAAAATTTAAAAAAAAAATTAATTCAAACATCTGTCTAGGGCTGTACACTCTTCAGATTAGTCTGTTAGCTGCAGGCACAGACAGGTGTTTTGCGAATAGCTTCGGACAGGAAGACTGTTGCTGGATGCACTAGATTCTGTACCTCTTGCCAAGTAGTACTACGTGTGGTGTTAGTGGCAGGGTGCCTTACTGGCCAAGACCTCTGGGGGCTGTGCCCATCATGAAAGGAAGGTTATATCCGGATGGAGTCTGACCTTCTTCAAATCCTGCATACATAAAGCCCTGTCGTGCCAAGGGTGCCACAACCTCCCAAGACTTTGGGTGTGTGGGGTACTGCTGGCAAAGACTTATTTGATTCATGGCTTGGAGCTGGGAAGCTGGTTTGGGTCAAGTTTGGTGCCGTTTTACAGCTTGATGCATTACTGTACCAATGCTAAAGTGTCTACAAGAGCTTCCTCCACGGCACCCTAGTGCACCAGTGCAACTTTGAGAATTGTTGCCTTCTGTGCCACCTTGTTCTCAAGAGGGTTTCTGGAACTTTGTGCGCTGCTGCTTTCTGAGGGCTTTTTTTGACTGGCAACTGCTTCTGACCCTCTTTCCATAGGCACTGTGGTCTCAGTCTCTCAGAGACCTAGAGTGTTTGGCCCAGAGTGTTCTCCCCTCCCTTTCCACAGCAGCAGAGGTCATAATTACCCCTATGTGGACAAAATTCACAGCACATGGCAGACCACAAGTTTAAAAGGGTCAGATGGCATTGTTATCTCAGGCTTGGCACATAGCTCCAAAGGGGGTGGTAGTTTATCCACATGGGACCCTAGTGCTCTTTGCTCAGATGCTCGCCCCCCAGTCTGACTGGCAATTCTGTTAGCCCATCAACAACACAATCTTACTCCTTCTTCTTTTTTTTTTTTATTTTTTTCCAGGGAGGATTTTTCTGCCTCCATGTTTTAATTCTTGGCCAGAATCCCATGCCTTATAGAGGCTATTTGATACCAGGGATCACAATCATACCCCTTCAGCCTCCCTTCAGACATTTGAGACAGGCAGCAGCGAAGGATAAACCCCAATCTCCTCCTGAGGAATCATATTTTTTAAGTCGCCCGTGGTTGAGATTTCATCCAAACGTAAGAATACTATTGCTACCCTTATTGACGCTGTACACTCCTGCTTTGCATTATAATGACTTGTGTATGCTCACCCCAAGGTCTCCTGCATAGGGTCCCTTAAATTGCTAAAAACAAGACTTTCCCAGTGCACTTGCTGGTGGAGCTTGCCATATATGGCCTCACTTATAAAAGGTTTTTATGTTTTTATGTCTCCAGAAAGCTTCGTCCAGCAATATTCTTTGGAGGAAAGTTTTTTTTTTTTTTTTTTTTTTTTTTTTTTTTTTTTTTTTTCCCCCTGTGCATGTGAGCAGTTCTTGTGGTAGATCTTGTAATTTTTTCAACACGATGCACATGGTCCCTGTGGAGGATAATCCCATGTTCAAGGACCTGATAGGTAAAAGGTTAGAGGCCCTTTTGAAAGCCATTTTTCTTTACAGGCCCTGGCATGCAGTCTGTGGTTGCTTTTGTGGCTGTCTGGAAGACCATTGCTGTTTGGACCAAGTGCATGGCCCATGATCCTGGTTCCATTCTAATGGATTTTTCAGTCCACAGACAATTTGAGCTTATACCAGTGACCATACAGTATTCCTTGAGTGGCCTGGTATACACACTTTGTCAAAATGCTAGTAAGCTTTGCCCTGTTGCAAGAATTGTCTTGAGCAGTTACCCTGTGAAGGTGAACAGTTGTTTGATGCCTCATTAGATAAGTACATCAAGGAGATCACAGGGGTTCTCTCTTCCCCAGAGAAATAAGGCTTGCTCCTCTTACAAAAAAGACTTCTACTCTGTAGGTTAGGAAAAGATCCTTTCATCCCTCAGGCTTCCAGTTCCAAAGCGAAGTCGTGCACTTACTATCATTAGAAAATATGGCCTTCCAAAGCCTCTCCCAATGATAGGCTGCCCCCACTGTCAGATTATGGTGAAGTCTGTCAGCATTCTGGTGGTGGGAAATTTCAGAGGTCTTGGTTTGGTGTCATTTCCAGAGGCAGAAAACTGGAGTTTCTCACTCTGCCTTTTCTCTGCTTCATGCTACGGTAGACAGATTATTTTGCTGAAGTCTATCGGTCTTTGTCTTAAGGGGCCACTACCAAAAAAAAATTATTTCAAAGCTTCTGCTCAAACCACTTTACAGTTCCCAAACCGAATGAAGGAGTCCATCCCATTCTGGATCTAAGACCCTTAAATTGTTCCTGTGGGATTACAAGTGCAGCATTGAAACTGCCTGGTTGGTTATTGCATCCCTTCCTCTTGGGAATTTTTCTCTGCATGGGTCATTTGAGATGCCTACTTGCACATCCTCATCTTCCCTCCTCAACATTACCTACTTTTTGCAGTGGGCAATCAGGATTGCAAATGTGTCGCCTTTCTCTTTTGGGCCTGTCCACAGCATGTCAGATTTCACTAAGGTGCTTGCCCCAGTCCTGACTCTGCTACATGTTTAGGGGATTCATGTCAGTTACCTGGTCAATCTGTTGTTAGGATCAGTCCTCCCGAAGTCTGTTAGCCAACTTCCAGTGGAAACTGCAGATTGGATCCTCAAGTTATTGCTAGATTCATCTCACAGATTAGAATACCTGAGCCTGACAGACACAGTCCAGTCTAGGATTTTCCTGCCTCTGGAAAAACTGCTATCTCCCCACACTCTTGCCCTGGCCATTTGGGCAGAGAGGAAACCCTTGCTTCGTGCCTGTGCAAGACTCTTGGGCCTAATGACTACCTCTTGAGAGGCCATGTTGTACACCCAGTAACACTCCAGGCGATTTTACTGAACATTGTGGCGGCATGCTTCTAACCCCTAAGGTGCAACTTTTCCTAACGTGGCTGATTTTCAGTCCAGCACTGTAGACGGGAGCACTTTCCTCCACAGGCGTGGAAAGTTCTCACAACAGATGCTTGTAGGACGGGAGAGCAGTCCTGAATTCTCTCTTGGTGAAGGGGATTTGGTTGTCAGAAGAAGCATATCTTCCCCGTCCCATATTGTCTTCAAGAAACAAATTTTACTGGTCACCGCTATCCTCCGCCCAGAGGGGAAATCTCTGTTGCGAATACAGGTAGGAATAAAAAGTAGAGGTTTAAAAATTAAACATTGAGAAATGTAATGTATCTGTTGCTAAACTAAAAAAAAAAAAAAATCTACAGCAAGTACAGATATTGGCAGAAAATACTACATATGTTTGCATTGTTAAATGTGTAGAATGTGTTATCTTTCCTGGCTGTATTGGCTTATAGCAAACCAACAACACAAAAATCAGCCATAATTTTCTGACCACAGACAGGTTAAGTGAATACCATTGATTATCTCCTTACAATGTCATCTGAAAGTTGGTGGGATATATTGGGCAGCAAGTAAACAGGTTGGTGTGTTGAAAGCAGAAAAAATGAGCATCACAGTTTCTTGCTTATGGGGCTGAGGAGTCGCAGACCAGTCAGGGTGCCTGTGTTGACCCTTGTCCACAGTCGAAAGCACCTACAATAGGCAAGTGAGCATTAGAACTGGATCACAGAGCAGTGGAACAAGAAGGTGGCCTAGTCCAAAGAATCCAGTTTTTTGTTTTACATCATGTGGATGGCCAGGGGTGCGTGCATCACTTACCTGGGGAAGAAATGGTGCCAGGATGCAGTATGGAAAGAAGGCAAGCCAGTGGTGGAAGTTTGATGCTTTGGATAATGTTCTGCTGGGGAAACCTTAGTCCTGCCATTCAGGTGAAATGCCACATAATACTACCTAAACATTGTTGCTGACCAAGTGCACCCCTTCATGGAAACCGTATTCCTTAATGTCAGTGGGCCCCTTTCAGCAGGATAATGTGCCCGGCCACACTGCAGAAATGGTTCAGTAATGGTCTGAGGAATATAACTGAAAGAAAAGAAAGAGGGTGTTCCAGTGGCGGGAGGGATAAGGACCTATTCACTCTCAATCACGGGAGAGAGATACTTAATCCAGAAGTCCCAGGTTTTGTGAAATTTAGTACGGTTATTATGGAGGGTACAGATGAGTTTATTATTCACCATAATCCAGTTCAATTTATGTTTAACATAATCGAAGCGCACCACAGCTTGGAGTATAGCTTTAAAGGGGAATTATATAGTTATAGACCTCTATACACTCTCCGGCCACTTTATTAGGTACACTTTGCTAGTACTGAGTTGGACCCCTTTTGCCTTCAGAACTGCCTTAATTCTTCATGGCATAGATTCAACAAGGTGTTGGAAACATTCCTCAGAGATTTTGGTCCATATTGACATGATAGCATCACGTAGTTGCTGCAGATTTGTTGGCTACACATCCATGATGCGAATCTCTCATTCCACCACATCCCAAAGGTGATCTATTGGATTGAGATCTGGTGACTGGAGGCTATTGAAGTACAATATACTCATTTTCTTGTTCAAGAAACCAGTTTGAGATAATTTGAGCTTTGTGATATGGTGCATTATCCTGCTGGAATTAGCCTTTAGAAGATTGATACACCAGTCATTGAGGGGTGGACATAGTCAGCAACAATGCTCAGGTAGGCCCAAGTTGGTATTAAGGGCCCAAAGTGTGCCAAGAAAATATCCCC